ACCCAACTCGTAAACACCCACAGACTATATATATATATACAAGGGGAATAATGGTACTACTGGTTGCATATACTTCTCACGCGCCACGAAATTGTCTATATAAAACATAACTATATCATATAGTATATTAACTGATCACGAGACAGCTTGTCCCTCCCCGGGACTCGAACCCGGGACCTTCCGGTGGAGAGCGCGCGCCCTTACCACTGCGCCAGATCAACTGACAAGCACTACTGTACCTAAATGACGAGGTCACTATGAACAAAAATCTTTAATCCCCAATTACTCGTCAGGAAATCTATAAACTGACCCGAGAGTAGCACCATTGTACTCAGAAGAACCAACCGAGTCGATTGGTAACACTTTCAAGACGGTTCTGAGGCTCAGTTTCGAAATCGGCTCCAAAAGGGTGTGATTTTGCTGTGAGTAAAATTGCTCATATAGGCGCGCGGGTCCCTCCCCGCTCGCCCGAAAAAAGTAACGCGAAAAAAAAATTTCCTCCACCTAGCGGTGTCCGAACATGCAACGGACTAGCCGACGGCTCCGCATTGGAGGGAGTCCACCGGTATCGAACCCATGCCTCACGGATGTGAAACTGGACGCTCGACCTTTAGGCTATACGGCCTCTGTCTGAGATTCATTGCTGCGCAGCCTCATAGGACTTGATACTCGTCAATGATTGTTAGGAGCGACTAAGTAGATTATCGTAATTGATTGCGCTGTCGCGCGTTACTTAGAGGGGGAGGGTAGACTCGAGCTGTGGCACTAATGGGTCCGTGCACCCCACTCACGCGGGGACCCCGCACGGACCGACTGAGTTTCGAACCGGAGACCTTGAGATTGAGAGCTGTGAATACTAACCACTAGACTAATTCGTATTACTGTATTTTACTGTTTTTCCGGTGTCGTCAGGTTGTACTATACTTACATGCTGTACTATGCTCGGAGTATAGTGAGGTCAGAGACCCACTGCCTGTCATCGACACAGGTCTACAAGTATTGATACCGGCCCCTACAGTAGACTACAAACACTACTACTCAGTAAAGTCTATCAAGTGACACAAATATTACAATTGATTTTACCAGAATTTGAACCTGGATCACTTGCATGACATACCGGAAGACTAACCATCACACTAAATCACCTATACAAATAATATTAACTGTATTAAAGTCGCCCATTGTTCAGACTACATTGTACCTACTAACAACTACTTTACTGGTTGTCCAGAGCCCACATCCCATTGTCCCTACTCATCACCACTACTATCACATTGACCACAGTACCATCCAAGTCGATAACCTACTCCAGGTCCTGAGACCTACTCCAAGAATATATTTCCACCAGGATTCGAACCTGGGTCTGCCGGGTGAAGGTCCACCGCACTAGCTCATTAGACTAATCCGATAGTTGGTGTCAAAGTGGTCCAATAGACGAGGTTATTATATTGGTCCGAGACTAAATCGGCTATTTCTCGTAAATGAGCCTTTTTTTGGAGAAAATTCTTTCATATTATTACTCAGCTCGACGAGAGGAGTCGATTGCACCCATTTTCAGGGTGATCCTTACTGTCATTAACGAAAAAGGCTTCGCAATTATACATTTTTGTAGGGGGTTTTCCTGCGGCTCTATATGGCGCGCCCTACGGGGCCCTACCCGCGCGCGCCCCTGTAAAAAAAGAAGCAAAGCTACATCCACCTAGCGGTGTCCGCATGTGCGCTGCGCTAGCATTCCCCCTTTTTGGGGGGTCGACCGGTATCGAACCCATGCCTCACGAGTGTGAGGCTGACCGCTCGACCTTTAGGCTGTACGGCCTCTGCCGTACTTTAGTGC